TACTGCACAGTGTCATTTTTTTGCCTGCTAACAGCCACGGCTACAATGCACCACTTTTCAGCATAATTATAGCTTGGCAATTCAAGGTCAACACTGGCTGCATCAATCCTGTAGAATGAATGCAGTTCAACACCACTTTAACAGTCATGGCACAATGCTATGGAATCCTGGGAGTTGTAGTTTGGAGAGGCACCAGCACTCTTTAGCAGAGAAGACTAAAGGCCTTGCAAAACTACAACTCTCGTGATTCTATAGCACTGAGCCACAGTGGTTAAAGTGGGGGTCAAACTTGATTAATTCTACAATGTAGGTGTCCCTCACATTTCTAACTGTAACTCATTCCTTGGAGTGTGTTTCGATTCAGCCAATGGGATGTGGAGGAGGAAGAGTCACATGGGTGGCTGCCTTGTGCTGCAGCAGAACATCCAGCAAGGAAATGGGGGAATGAGCCATCTGAAGAACCAGGCTCACTGGATGTATTTATTTTTATTTAGAAAAACTAGCCTGTTTTAGATTTACTTGTTCACCTTCTTCCATCTGCTCAAATGAAAGGGACTGCTGCCACTGCCAGAAAAAGTAAGTCATTGTGAGGACTGCTTTGCAAAGCTGGCTTCTCCAAAATAACAGGACAGAACATACACTTGGCCTTTGTTGGCTTGTTCTGAACGGGTTTTGAGAAGAGAGTATTCTCAGTGCTCAGGCAAGAGACACAGGGCAATAATGAGAAGAGATGCAGGGCAATGGGGAATCGAATGGCTGAGTTTGTGTGCTGGTCCAAAGCATTGAGATGCATTGCACAGCATTGTGTGGCTAAGAAAAGGGGATTCCAAGCATGTTTGTCTACTTTGAATTAGAATGGTCAGGGAAACCAAATAATCTTTTCTAATGATGATGTTGTGTGTCTTCAAGCCATTTCAGCTCTTGTGCAACCATAAAACACACTTATCACAGGATTTTCTTGGTAAGATTGATTCAGAAAAGGTTTGTCATTGCCTTCCTGTGAGGCTGAGAGAATGTGAGCTGCCCAAGATCACTGAATGGGTTTTTGTGCCTGAGCAGTTTCATACCCTGGTCTCCAGAATCACAGTCCAATGCTGAAACCACTCACCACACTGGTTCTTCTATTAGAAACCGTAACTACAGTAATAGTGCTACATCAGTTGATCAGAGTAATGGGTAGCAAATCTAATTCCTGACTATTTTATAGGATGAGGGTTTTTTTTAAAAAAAAAAGTGGTATGTGTAACTTCTATTATTTGCTTTGATTCTTTGTTGTAAAATGGTTTTCACTGGTTGTATATTTTAATGGCCATTTTGAATATTTTTAGTGTTTTTATATTTGTTTGTTTTTAAATTGTAAGCCATCTTGAGTCCCAGTTGTAAGAAAAAATCCTGAGTACAAATATGGCTTCAGTCAAAACTAAACAAGGGGGGGGGAGGGGAGTAAATAATAATAGTAAAATGACCTTATATAAAATGGAAAAAATCAAGCAATTTTGAAACATTTTCAAGCATGGATGTTTGAATCCGTGGTACAGAGGGCTGCCTTAATTTGGCCCCTTATGTGCCTGTTCCTCCCTCCCACAACCCCAAATGAAATCATATGTTTTCCATATATAATGATTAGGGAAGGGTCAGTGTGTCTTTTGAAAGCAGCTGAGCAATTTAAGTGGAGAAGAGCTAAGAAAATAGTCCTCATATGCACTTATTTGGGAGTCAGCTTGCTTATCCTGGCCTTAACTTCTGAATCATAATAATACACAGGAATAAACTTCAGAACTATACCTTGTGGGGATTTGGGCATACTTAAAACAATTCAATTCACTAGCTATTGGCCCCAAAATAATCATGGTAGGAATGACTTCCTGGATAAACACACACAGGTGTGCATCCCCAGACATATTGGTTAGAAATTAGGCCTGTGCGGTTTCGTTCGTTAATTCGTTATTTCGTTATTAATTCGTTAATTTTACCATTTCCGAAGCGATATTGAAGCATATTCCCAAACCCGGAAGGGTTTTTAAATATCGAACCAGCAGCCCCCAGAGTTTTAACGAGCCTCCGCTCGTTTCGTTAATGGGGTGGAGGCTGCTGGAGTGCTGGTGCATGGGAGCCAATCCGGCGCTCCCAAACAGTGCACCACCATGGGTCCGTGGCTGCCTGTTTTTGATTGGCCGGCGAGCCCTTTCAAAGCGGCTCCGCGCGGCCCGTTGCTTCAAGAGGGCGAGGGAGTTTGCATTGGGTTGGCTTGGCAATGGCTGCTAGCAACTGGGATTGGATTCATTCCTTGCTGCTGTGAGTGCTGCTTGCTTCATTTGCTGTCTCTTGCCTGTGTTTGGTCCACATTTGGGCCATTTTTTGGTTAATTGTCCATTTTAAAATATTTTTAATATTATTTTTTAATATTATTTTTAATATTATTTTTAATATTATTTTTAATATTATTTTTAATATTATTTTTAAAAAATATTCTAAAAAAGAAAAGACTCTTCTGTTGGTGTGTGCTCTCATTTGCTGTATCCTGCCTGTGTTTGGTCCACATTTGGGCCATTTTTTGGTTAATTTTCCATTTTTAAATATTTTTTAATATTATTTTTAATATTATTTTAATTATTATTTTTAATATTATTTTAATTATTATTAAATATTATTATTTAAACTCTTCTGTTGGGGTGTGCTCTCATTTGCTGTATCCTGCCTGTGTTTGGTCCACATTTGGGCCATTTTTTGGTTAATTTTCCATTTTAAAATATTTTTTAATATTATTTTAATATTATTCTTAAGAAATACAAAAAATATTCTAAAAATTCATTAATATTTACAAAATTTCTTAAATACCAAAACTTTTTTTTGGAAAGTTTTGTAATTATTTTAAATATCGAAACAAAAAAACACCCCAATTACAAATCGATTTTAGAAACAAATTTTTTCTTGATCAAACAGGCCTATTAGAAATGCATTCAAGGCAGGTGCTTATGACTGTAAGACAGAAAAAACAGGTGCAACACAGCTGAACTAAACTGTTTGAAGTTGGGCAAGTGGCAGAAGCTCATGGGTCTTGTAAAAGCGAGGGGCAAAAGCCTTACTACTAAAGCATTATTGTCAGGCCTTATCTACACTGCCATATATAATGTGTTATATGGCAGGTATATGGGGCCTGAGAAACTTCTGGGAAATAGAGAAGTAAAATACGAAGGCTACTCCATTCCAGTTGCATGTTTGGTTTTCAGAAGTATGCAGTCTGTCCACGGAGACCCCACCGAATCTAATGTTGAGCACTCTATCAGTTTTGTGCCTGCAAGCCATTTCGAACCTCGGGAAAAACCTATGATGAGGTTGTCTTCTTGGCAAAATTTGTTCATAAGACATTTGCTTCCTTTTGAAGCCGAGATAATGTGACTTGCTCAAGGCCACCCAGTGGGTTTCCACAGCTGAGCAGGGATTCAAACCCACCCTTAACCCCCGTACCACAATCCAACCTTCAAATCACTACATCACCAGATAGTTGGCCTTCTCTGCTTGCAGATTCCCTCATCCTCTGCTACCTGTGGCTTCTGGGAGCTATAGTCCAAAATATGTGGAGGGGCCCTTAATCTCAGGTTGCAGCTACCCTACAAAATTGATGCAGTTTGATACAACTTGAATTATTGTGGTTCAGTGCTATAGAATATTGGGAGTTGTAGCTTATGAGACACCTTCACTTTTTGGCAGAGAAGACTAAAGACCTTGTCAAACTGCAACTCCTAATACTCCATAGTAGTTAATCCAGGCAGTTAAAGAGGTGTCAAGTTGCATTGATTTTACTATGTAGAGGTACCCTATATGCTTTCACAAATGGTTATACTGCTATTTCGCAGGGCCCAACCTATGGAAACTGAGGGTGCTCTTGGGCAGGTCTCACTCTCTCAGTCTCAGAGAAAAGAAGAGGCAAACAAATCTAGCCAGCTCCATGAAACTTAGGGTCACTATGAGACCCCTTCTACACCGCCATATATAATCCAGATTATCTGCTTTGAACTGGATTATATAGCAGTGTAGAGTCAGATAATCCAGTTCAAAGCAGATAATGTGGATTATCTGCCTTGATATTCTGGATTATATGACAGTGTAGAAGTGCTTTAAATCATAAACTATTTGTAACCCACAAAACAACAAATGTCCATAAAATCTTTTTGAGACCAATGGTTTTGGACTTCAACTCCCAGAAGCCCCACCCAGCATGTCTAATGGTTAGGAATGCTGGGAGTTGAAGTCCAAAAGCCTGGGAGGAACAACATTTGGGGACCACTGAGGGCCCTGCCACACAGCCATCTAACCCAGATTATCAAAGCAGATAATCCACAATACCTGCTTTGAACTGGGGGCTCTTCCATACATCTATACAGCCCAGATTATCAAGGCAGGTAATCCACAATATCTGCCTTGAATTGTGGGCCCTTCCATACAGACCTATATCCCAGAATATCAAGGCAGAAAATCCCACATTATCTGAATGCGGACTCAGATAACCCAGTTCAAAGCAGATATTGTGGGATTTTCTGCCTTGACATTCTGGGATATAGGCCTGTATGGAAGGGCCCTGAGGCCCCTTCCACATAGCTGAATAAAATCCCACTTTAAGTGCTTTGAACTGGAGTATATGGCAGTGTGGACTCAGATAACCCAGTTCAAAGCAGATATTGTGAGATTTTCTGCCTTGATATTCTGAGTTATTTGGCTATGTGGAAGGGCCCTTAGTTATCTGAGTCCACACTGCTATATAACCCAGTTTAGAGCAGGGCCCTGACTGGCATCAAGAGATTACAAACAGCCTTTAGACATTGAACACTAGCAACCCTCCATCCCTTTGCCAGTTTCTGTGTGAATCCCCTCCTTTAGCCATTCCCGGCCTCTCCAACCAGATTGGGCTAGCCTCCTCTCCCACCCGCCCCTTCTCAAAATAGCTGAACCAATCCTCGCCTCCGCAGCGTCGGCTCCAGCCAATCAGCGGCAGCCTCCGAGCTCCGGCCAAGATGGCGGTGTGATGAGCGTGTGGAGAGTTGCCGCCGCCCCCGCGGGAGTTTTGTATTTTCCTAATGGCGAGTAAACGGCGGGCGGCAGCAAACGTGGAGGAGCTTCGCCTCAAGAGTCCCGCGAGGAGGAGGAGGAGGGGGAGCAGGCGAAAGACTGCCGCCGCGGCCGAGGGTGCCCAGGAAGCCAAGGGAGGCGAAGCGGCGGGAGAGGCCCCCGCCTCCCCCCGGGGCCCTCCAGGTACTCGCTCCCTGCCTCCCAAGCGCACATTCCCCCCTCTGTGCTGAGGCTGCCCTGGGAGCAAGGGAGGCCCCTCCCAAGGCAGTGGCCTGCCTTTGGTTACAATGCCTATCATCCCTGATCACAAGCTGGAGCGGATGAGAATTGTTTCTCCGCCCCTCACGAGAAAAACAACCACTAGTGACATGTTTTGCAGTAAAGCTGAGATTGGACTCTGCAAAAGTTGCACTAGAAACAAGGACCTCCTTCCCAAGAAAAGGAAGTCGTTTGGGGTTACAACCTCCATTAGCCCCCACCACTGCTTGAAACTGATGGAAGTTGTGCTTCCCAAAACGTCTGGGGAAGGCCCCTTGGTTGCTTAGACTGGAATCCATAGAAACAGCTTCCCAGTTTAAGAAAAGATCCTTTTCTGATATTTTGATCCTGAGCGGGATCCTCTGCTTGCCTCTTTTCCTTCTGTACTCCCTTTTTGCTGTAGCTTCCAGGTGTCCTTCCACTGCAAAAAGGAAGTGTCCCATGGTGCCTCAAAAACTATAATAATAATCCTTTTTTCCCCCCGTAGGGACCCATGATAATGAATGAAATTATTATAAAAACTTCATTTTCTGTGTGGCATAAGTATATTATAATCTGTGCTGAGTCGTGCCTAATAATATGCAGCATCCATTCAAGCAGACAGAAAGGATGCAGACTTTTTCTTTATGCAGAAATGAGGCCTCTTCCACACAGCTGAATAAAATCCCACATTTTCTGCTTTTCTCTCAGGCCCCTTCAATGTGTATAAAATCCACATTGAACAGGATTCTATAGTAGTGTGAGATAACCCAGGGCCCTTCCACACAGCCCTGTATTCCAGAATATCAAGGCAGAAAATCCCACAATATCTGCTTTGAACTGGATTAGTCCACATTCAGATAATATGGGATTTTCTGCGTTGATATTCTGGATTATAGGGCTGCGTGGAAGGGCCCTGAGAAATTGAGTTGACTTTGGTTCTTACTGGCTGAATTAGGCAAAGTTTATGCTTCCTTCATTATAGAATCATAGAGTTGGAAGAGACCTCATGGGCCATCCAGTCCAACCTGCTGCCAAGAGGCAGGAATATTGCATTCAAATCACCCCTGACAGATGGCCATCCAGCCTCTGTTTAAAAGCTTCCAAAGAAGGAGCCTCCACCACACTCCAGGGCAGAGAGTTCCACTGCTGAACGGCTCTCACAGTCAGGAAGTTTTTCCTCATGTTCAGATGGAATCTCCTTTCTTGTAGTTTGAAGCCATTGTTTCGCGTCCTAGTCTCCAGGGAAGCAGAAAACAAGCTTGCTCCCTCCTCCCTGTGGTTTCCTTTCACATATTTATACATGGCTATCATATCTCCTCTCTGCCAAAGTCAAGTGATATCCTAAACAAATCTATTCAGGAAATGCCAAAAACATAAAATGCTTTCATATAAGTTAAATCAAAATTGGTGATTATATGTTATCCACAGTTGGGGCATACCAGGCCCACTTGAAGGTGTTACTCCATGTCATTAATGGTTTACTACACAATAAACTGGTAGTTTTGAGTCAATCCCACATAGTATGGCCAGTGGTCAGGAAGTATAGGATCTGAAATACTTTAAGGGACATGTAATGCATGTGTGTCCAAGTTGCCTGTCATTTTATGGCAACCCCATGCATTTCATAGGATTTAATCCACAATTATACAATGGTTAGACAGAGCTGGGATAAGGCATTGTTACCCCAGAGTGGATTTTCCCTGAAATGTTCATTGATTACTGCAGGGAACAGTTACCTTGGGATTGATATGAAGTGATGACATCCATATTATTGACTCAAGTGGGCTGCAGAAAAAGACATAACTTACATGAAACATTTTTATTCCCCTCTTTAACAATATTGTACTCCTAGACCTGGACGTAACAAGAAACAATACTCCCCTTGCCCTATGTTTTAGAAGGCGCAATACCACAGGCAAAGTGGAGTACAAAATGAGGAAACTGAGATGCATGTTTTTAGTTATAAAGTGCTCAGCATTGCAAACTAGAATTGAAACAGCTGAACAGAGGAGGAACCAATTTTTTTTGGTTCAAATGCGTTGTTAAAGTGGCTATGCTTTTTATTGCCGGGTAATTTCTGTGTGAAAATTAGGGAGAGAGGGTAAGTCATGAAGTTGACTTCTAGCAGAACTTACATTAACCATTTTCTCAATACAGCTACCCTCCTGAGGCAGTGCTGGCCTGTGGAATAACCCTCAAACTTGTCTACAGGTCATGAGGGAGGCCTCAAACTGTCCTTGACTAGTAAAAGTATATATGGTACCTATTGCTGTTTGCTCATGTTCATCATCAGCAAACAGCAATAGGTACCATATAGATGTACAGATGTCCATGCTATGTTACTCATTTTATTCAGGAATATTGCTTGGTTTTTACTATTTTTTACAGGAATATTGCTTGGTTTTTACTATTTTTATTAAAGTACCTTTTTGCATGTCTATCACACAGAAACTAACTCATATAAGACTCCCAAAAGAACACGAGCAGGCAGGTCACGCTTGCCAACGTTCAGTTCTCCTGCAAATGAAACCGATGTGCAGCAAGAGATCTTCTGGGATCCTCAGTCACCAATTGCATATAAGCTGGGTAACTACTCATTGCAATTGTTTTCATTTAAACTCCTCCTTTGTGTAACGTAAACTTTGAGTTGTGGAGTAAAAGGGTTTAACTGTTTGGGTTCAGATTATCTTGTTAGAAGAACAAGACAATATCTTGTTAAGGCCGTTGATGGATGCCGTGCTCTGGATTTCCCATCCCTGGTAGTGAGATGGCTTCCCATATTGGACCATTTTATCTGTGGTGTCCTAAATTGGACAAGTCTTCACAGATTGATTTTTCTGGAATTTCCACATTTGTATTTACTAAGTAAAAAGTGTTATTTTTGTCTGGAATCTTGTAGATCAACTATATGTCCATAACTCCTTGTCCAAGTGGTAGTAGCAATTGTTGCTGCTGGTTCCTCTCCATAACGTAAATGCAGCTAGAGAGAGTCTGTATTCATGCAGTGGCTGAGAAGATGAGTATTACTATGCCCAGAAGTGTTTGGCTGCTATTGCATATCTGCAGGAGCTGAAGAAAAAGCTGGTCCTTGGCTCAATAGCATAGTTATGCTGGTGGATAATTACAATTTGCTAATATAACTATTCAGTTTCAGGTGCTTTTTCCAAGTATTGAAAGGGAATTTGAATTTAGTTATCTTGGTATTTTGATTTTTATCAAATAGGTATTTAACTGGAATGGTTTTCTGAGTGTGTGTTTTAAAAGTTTAAAAGTAAGGTACTCTATTAGTCTTATAGCTGAAAGAAAAGACAAGAAATACTAAATAAATAATTCTTGTTTGAATGTTTATTCTTTAGTTTATTTTCAGATTTTCACTACAGTTACACTAGTGACATAGCTACACTGCCAACTTAGGTCAGATGGGCCCTGGATCAGCAACATTAAGCAAGAAAACTTCAACACGACCTTGCCCCTGCAAAAACCAAAATTGGAGAACAATACAAATTCTAGTCTAGGATCCAAAGTATCTCCTGACTTTGGGCCCATCTGAACAGTTGGCATTTGGGAAGGGGGGGGTGCTGTCTGCCCACCCCAGTGTCTGGCATATATCATGCCGGATCAGCCCTGACTTAGTGGGTCATAGTACAAAGCAAGTGCTCTGCATATTCATTTGCAGGCTTTGATTGACTTCTGAGGTTAAAATATTTTCATTTGTATAGTGTTGAAAAATTTCTAATTTTTTTTCAGGCAAAGAACAAAAGAAGCAGACAGTTAATAGACACACAGTTGAAATCTCAGAAATAGTAAATCGGATTGCTCCCCAGGTAATTAATTGTTTCTTAGAGTAAAGCTGCAGTATCTTGACACATTTTTTTCTTTTATGAAAATAGTCTGCTTTAAAAGAATGCTCGGGGAAACCTGGTGAGATATACTGTGGTATTGTTTGATTAAACTTTCTAATGTCTGCATAATTATAATACTTAATACAAAGTAAAATCATATTTGTATAGCTATAGGCAGCTGTACAAGTTAGTATACGTTCAACTGATGCTATAACTGATATTAACTGCTATATTAGGGTTTTGTTTTGTTTTTGGGTTTTTTATTGTTTTTGTTTTGTGTGTGTGTTTTGTTTTGTTTTTTTGGTTTGGTTTGTTTGTTTGTTTTTTTGAGATACAAGTGAAACATGCCGCATATTGCTGCAGTATGTCTCCTCACTTAATTTGGGTGTTCCTTTATAGGCCCAAAAGCTTTTTCACCCATTTTTCAGTCATCTGTTTTATTTTTTCTGAGTAACATTTTCTTCTCTTTGACCAACTGAATATTTTCAGTTCTGAATGAACTCTGTATTTCTTCATAACTATTCAAATCTACTTCTATAAGTCGTAGGATTCACTTCTTGTTTCTTCAGTCTAGTTGGCACCCAGAGTAGGACTTAGCTCATAAAAGGAAAAATACCAGTTGCACTGGGAAAACTTTTCCATTTAAAAAAACAAACATGCACTTACATTTCTGATAAGCCTTTAGTTTCCAACATGTGTAGGTTTCTACTCTTTGACAGTTTGTTTTAAATTTGGACCATTGCTATAGACATTGCATTGGAATGGTTTTTCTTTAAATATAATTTCCCACTTGGGCTTTTTAGAGTAGGAGTTCTATGCATCTTTGTTTAGAAGACTAGTTGTGTTACTTAGTGGCACAGTGAATTGTGGCACCGGCTGTTTTTTCCTATTTATTCTTAGATTTATTTTTTGTTCCCTCCTTCCAATTTACAGTGTTCCCTCACTACTTCACACTTCACTTTTTGCGGACTCGCTGTTTTGCAGTTTTTTTAAAAAAATATGAATTTAAAATATACAATACAAGTAGTGAGGGAACACTGGATGGGTGGATCCCTGCATGGCCTGGATCCAGATCTGGGAGACCTTTTAAGACCACCACCAGTGGCAGTGGCAGCGTAGGTTCAGCCTCCTCACCCTCTTTACCTTCCTCCGCCTCGGCGCCTCCCTTCCCGCCAATAAGCCCCGAACTGTTATTCTCTCTGCCACTTGGGGCCTCACTCAGAGGAGAGGCGGGTGCCGCGACTGCTGCTGCTCCAGAAGTCTCCGGAGTGGATAGTCTGGAGTGGATAGTCCCAACAGAGGGGTCTCTGCCGCCTGCTGAAGGGAACCCCTGGAGGGAAGAAGAGCCACCCAAGGAAGGCAAGCCGCAGCCTTCAGCAGGTGGCAGAGGCTCAGGCAGCGACAAGGAGCCTCTTCCACTGGGACTATCCGCTCCGGAGACTTCTTGAGCAGCAGCAGCTGGAGGGAAGAAGAGCCACCAAAGGAAGGTGGGTCGCGGCCTTTGGGAGCCACCCCTCCACGGCATTACTACTACCACCACTATTGAGTGAGAGGGAGGGAGGGGACAGTCCCTACTCACGTCTTTTCACTTACCGCGCGTGGTCCTGGAACGTAACACCCACTATAAGTGAGGAAACACTGTAATTATAAAAACTGCTTTGAATTTGACAGAGGGTAAATACATGAAAATCTGGAAGGTTGACAGATGTACAACTGTGGTGTTTACTTATTTGATTCTTGTTCAGGATGAAAAACCTGCCTGTCATGAAGGAAATCTTCTTGGGTTTTGGATTGGAGATGATGCAATTCCTTGTACTCCGGCAATTACAAAAGTACGATCAAGAAGAAAAGTAAATGGTGCCAGGTATGCTGAGAGTTGCTTCACTTTATAAAAATTCTGAAATAATTTCTTACTTCACAAAACATGCAGGAATAGCTTGCCAGGTTATGTAGTGAGATGAGATTTATTTTTGGAGCTTTTGTCCAATAGCTTTACCCAGCTCCATTATGTTTTCTGTTCATCTGCTTTTAGACTCTTAGTAAAACATTTTTGTTACAAGAAGGTTTTAGAATACAATGTAGACTGTTAGGTTCATATTCAGAAGTTAGGCAGCTAGTAGCTCTTCAGATGTTGTAGACTTCAGCTCCCATCAATCCTAGCCAGTACAGTACAATACAACAGCGTCTAGAGATCCACAAATGGACAGTACATCTACTATATTTTGTTGCTCCTTATCCTTGTAACGTTATATTTTTTTATTATTCAGTGACAATGTTGTCAATGCCCCAATCTTTTATTTCCATCCCTTCTATATCTAAGCTTCTTTGGATATTTCCTCTTGAAAGGCAGGATAAAAATCTGCTAAATTGTTTGAACTGTAAAATGCTGAAATCTGTATTTGAATTCTGAAAAAAATGGGCCTTTCAATTTTGAAAAACTGTGACATCCATGTGTATGTATGTTCAATTGTGTTTGCTCTTGCAGAGGCCGCCAGTCAAAACACAGAGAAGAGGAACTTATGGAACTGGCAAAGCAATTTGACAAAAACCTAACAGATGCCATCCAAGATCAAACTTCTTCATGCCACACCATTATCCACACTACATCTGAAGCAGAAAAGTCTACTGAACATGAGGATGAGCCTTGGATGAAAAATCAACAGGAGTTTCTTGAAGGAAATCCTACCTTTCGGGCTGTTGGCAGGAGCACCAAGGCTCTTGAGCCCTGTGAAGACAGTAGGCAGGAACCCTTCAGTCTTGATGCTGAAATAGCGCTTAATGAACTTTTTGATGGCCCCACTCAGAAATGTAGTGGTGGGCTCAGCCAGGGTCTTTCAGATTGTTCATCAAACTCAAGTTTCCATGAAAATCAATACATGCTCCTGGAGGGGGATAATATTACAGCTGCTAGTAAACAAACAATTGGAGAAGCACCTCTGAGGGGGGAAGGCACTGCAGTGCTGCTTACAGAATGTTTGTCAACTATTCCCGCTTCCAATTCTATCGGGTCTTCTGAAAAAACAGCTCCAAAAATCAGTTCTTGTACGACTGGCTCTGTTGTCTCCAGTAAAGTGGACCAAATTGCCAATGATGACTTTGATGACTGGGGAGATGATTCATTTCTTATGCAAATTACCCAGAATCCTGAATTGATAATTATCCATGAAAGTCCTTTATCTCATGTTTCTGATAAAAATGTGGAACAAAAAGAAAGTACTGTAGTTTCTGCTCAGGGGGCACTGCTTCATTCGTTTAAGACTGACCCAAAATTATCTGCTTTACAGAAGCAAAGCATTGATATAGGAAATACAGAGAGAGTCGTTCCGCATAGTAATCTTACTATAAAAACTGAGAAGACAAAATTCATTTCAGCAACAGGAGATAACAAAATCACTTGCTATAATCCTCTTCCAGTGAAATCAGGAACCAAGAGCAAACAAGAGGGATTTACTCAACTCAAATGTCCAGCCAGTGGAAGTATTCCTGAAAAAAGATCTCTTTCTGTTTCAGAACCATCTGCTCTTCCTAAACCACAGATAGGAAAATATGGAAGCAGTATGTCCAGTACCAACCATCAGTCATCTTTTGTTTCTCCCAGCATGAAGGCTCTTAGCATCAGGAAAGCAAGTGGTCCAGACAGTGCATGCCATTTGATGCAGAAAGAATTGCCCAAGAATAGTGCATTTTCATTTGATGACTGGGATGAGCCCAAGTTCTCAGATGACGTTTTAGACTTATTTTGTGAATCGGATAGTCTTTGGGACACACACGGTGATGAGGACGATGATTTGCTTTGTCAAGTCTGTGACGATGTGGAAAAAAACACTCTGAGCCAAAAGGGGGTGAAAGAGAAGGAAAAAGCCATGCCAACATTGGGAAGGGCTTCCAAGTTGGAAGCACGTAGTTGCTTCACAGGAGCCAATCAAGAGATTTCTAATTGCCCACTGATCCAGAAGAGCCAGAATGGGAGGAAGACCTTCTCCTTGGGAACTCCCGTTAAAATTGCAACACTGCCAAAGAATGAGAACTGTACAAATCCTGTGCAGCCTAACTGGCAAGCCTTTAAAACTGAGAGCACAAACTGCATTCGAGGAAAATGGTCCAGATCTCATTCGGTGCCCGGAGGAGACTTTAGTTCTGGATCAAGCTCAGCTGTTCGCTCAGATGGTTGTTTAAATCACAGTAATGTACAATGGCAGAATAGCCTAAGTAACATGGACAGAGTGCCAAACAACAGCAATATTAATCAGCCGCCATCTGAGAAGTCAAAATATGTGTTCAGGAAGACTAATCCTTCTCAAACCCTTGCTTTGGATTATAGAAGTGTAAACATAGGCCAGACTTCAGAAACTCTTCCAGGATTGGGAGAAAACAAGAATGCACCCAACATCCAATGTCAAACAGCAAATCAGACAAACACGAAGCCACCTTTTAAGAGGCACCTCTCTGATTGCCTTGCACAGTACAAAACAGGTAAGTTATTGAAGATTGCAATTTTTCAGAATCTCAAATTGAGATCAGATCCAGGCTGTCATTCCACCATCCTTGGGGTACCTTTTCCTGCTATCAGACAATGGTTGGAAAAAATACCAGAAGTGTCGCTCTTCTCACTTTGAAGTCATGATAAGGTTTTGCATCATGTTTTCCTTTGTCCTCGGATCTCTGCTGGAATGCTAGCCATAGTCCTTAAGTATAAATGGTTGGATTACCATTGTGGGCTCACTATTTGAGTGTTGGACTATAACTGGAGACCAGGGTTCAAACTTTTACTCAGCCATGAAAACACACTGGATGACTGCATGAGTCAAACACTCTTTGCAAGAGACCAGCAAACATTAAATAATTGTCTTTAAAAACCTGCAGGTTGTCCCAGTTTTTTTTCCCATTGTGATTTCTGAACTTTCAGTGGTGACTGTCATTTATGGATGATGAATGAGTAAAATAGGAAAGGGAGTACGTTAGTGTTTGAGAATATGCTCTACAAGTACAAGACCCCCAATTCAGTCTTTAGCTGTGTGTTTTATGTTTTTACTAAATTGATGGGACTTCTGGTTGCTGTGAGTTTTCTGGGCTGTATGGACATGTTCCAGAAGCATTCTCTCCTGATGTTTCGCCCACATCTATCGCGGGCATGCTATCTCACTAAGTAATGCTATCTCAAGTTGCATTTTAAGTTGGCTCACAAACTTTGTTCTGCACTGCGCAGGATTGAGATAGTACATGTTTTGTATATATTACAGTTGCCTCCTAGGGTAGCATTTAGACTAATAAATGTGTTTAGTTTAGTGTGATGTTGCCATTGCTAACGATGGATTTGTTTGGCAATTGTGTCATGGAATTGTGACTTGGAAGTTGTTTTTTATCCTTTATTCCCATGTTAAACTTTCATCAAACGTGAATATTTCCCAGTGTTAATGACTACTGACCACCTGTCTGTTTCTTGATGCTCCAGTTCCTTTACAACTCCAGACAGACTTCTAATGAGGCAGCTCAAAAGATATGGAGTCTTTTCTCTTTTCCCTCATTTTTGTTAGGCATAGATGCGAGAATACTGAAGAGTATTGAATCAGTATTCTTGCGCCAAGATTTTAAGAGGTTAGGCATAAACTATCTCTCTGCTTTTCAGTTGAATTACATTGGAGCCATAGAAATGTAGCTACCTTCAGACCATGATATTTCATAATACAGGCTACTAATAACGTATTTTCTATTACAGAACAGAAAAGTACAAAATGTTCTCAAGAAGAAATTGCAAGGAAGAAGCAAGAGGCTCTTGAGCGGAGAAGATGTAAAATGCAAGGCTTGCTCAAAAATACAGCACCTACCTGAGTGGGCTCAATACATTGAATGGGGAGGAATTATTGACAGCTGGGCAGAATAATAATTAAAACCACTAAACTGTCAACAGGTTTTCCAGGTAGTGGATTAAAATTTCAGCATCTGAACCACTGTTAACGAATTCTTCTCCACTCTTTGTGAATAGTCATTTGATTATGTCAGAACTAAGACAGTGCCAGCTTTAATTATGGGTGTATGAGAAGCCAGACATCTAGAAATGTTTTTCTTGATAGGACAGTGTGGGTCTCCTAATTGCAGTCTATGTTTATACATCAGAATCATAGTAAACACTGTTCCAGGCCTAATGGTTTGCGATTGTAATGATTTGGCAAATGCAGAATCATCATGTTAAATCCAGCCAAGCAGTCAGTTCACAACTTGGGGGCATTTTTAAATTTTGTATTCTCAAAGAAGTACAGAGTAGGTCTGAGCTATGTAGGATTTATTTATCTGTGTAAATTTTGTACACTTTGTAAATTACGATTAAAATTGTAGCTGTTTCTATGCCAATGAGAGTTTTTTCCCTCTAGTCTGCAATGGGAAATATAGGTAGTGCTTGGTTCTTTTCAAATGCATAAGAAGTGGTATATTCTGGTGTAGAAAATTTCATCAGCCTGAACCAAAATTGGTATGACAAAGTGTGTGTTGTGTGTCACATGGACCAGTTCCAACAGATTTCACATTGCCCAAACTACATGAACAACAGGCATCTTTTACAATACGGTCTTCTTGAAAAAGTATTGGGTTGAGCTCATTATGTCTCCATGGATAGGGTTGGCAACGAAGTCTCTTAGCTGTCTCACTAGGAATGAACAGGCAATTCCATGGGAGGTTTCAGAATGTTATGCAATGAAGGTATTTGAAAGACTACTGGACAAAAGGCTCCACAGATGGCAACACAATACCAGGTGTATGGCCATAAATAAATGAAACCTGTTGAAATTGTGGCAAACTACTGGCATTCCATGTGACTCAAAAATACCAGAACAAATCAAGGCTAATATCTACACTACAGTTGTTCTCCCAGTAGCCCTCTGTGGGGCAGAGTGCTAGCCAGCAACAAAGAAACATGAACTAACAACGGAAATGAAAATGATAAGATGGACACTTGGCTTGACACTTCTTGGCCATGTGCCAAATGAAAAGCGAGCAGCAAGAAAATACAGGAAGCAAGACTACAGTGGTATGGCCATGTCATGAGAAGAGAACCAACATCAGTAGCACAAACAGCACCACATTTGGAGATTGCAGGACAACAACTGTGTGGACAGCCAAAGAAAAGATGGATGGACACCATAAACGAAGAGACAAAGCCCTGTGGAGACGACAATCACAATACTCACTCCTCAATTGGGAAAATAGCTTAGAAAGAAAAAGTTGGGAATTGAATTATCCAAAACTTACAGTCTTCTGATAGGTTTTGAAAAAAAGAGGATTAATGTGACCCCATAACTATATGGGATCACATCAGTCCCCACATCACATTGTATTTGTTAAAAGAAGTCACCACAATTCTGTGAACCCAACAAACATTAATGACAGGCTGTCTTAAAGACTTTAGACATGTCTTACAATGAGAGTAATGGGAATGCTTCAGTGCCACAGATTTTATGCCTTGAAAGATTCTGGGAGTTTCATGGTTTGTCTTTCCAGTTGTTAATGGAGTTCTAGGGTTAGTAGGCTTAGAAATAGGAAAGGTAATAGAAAGTAATTAATACACTATATTAAATCCAAATAAATTTATGTTAGGGAGTGAACTATTAAGCTTATGATAACTTGTGATTTAAATTCAGTTTAAATACTTGGTCTGTTGGTCTTACCAGAATATAGCTGGAAAATGTCATGGTCACTCCCTCCCCACTTAGTTGGTCCTAGCAACTAGATTTAAGGCAAAAAATGTTTGTAGAGTGGAAGAGATAGTTATCTGAAATCATGTTTTAGAGTTTTATTCCTTCACTACATGCTTCACATAAACCTCAATTTTTCCAACCACTTTTTGAAGTGTAGCAGATTTGGTAGTGCTAAAGAAATGCTTGGTTTTATTTACCTGGATCCCTTGCTGTTCAGTGAGCCTTCCATGGATTCTGCATCTGGGGTTTCCACCATCCATGGCTTGAAAATATTTCCTCCCAGAATCCCAAAAGTAAACCTTGATTTTGCCATTTTATGTGAGGGACACTATTTTATTCTACCATTGTATATAATGGGGCTTGGATACCCATGGATTTTAATATTTACTGGGGCTCTGGAGCCATGGGCCCACTGTATTTAGCAACGGGATGAAGGTTATTTAGAGAACTACAAATTTCCAAATGTCCTTGATGTAATTCATCTCACTGGAACTATACTTTGGTATGTTTGGTTGAAGCTCGCAGCCTAAGCATTGTGATTCTTTACCCCCAAGAAGCAAATACTACTATACAGAGTAAAGGCCAGTCTACTCAGAATATAAAATGGATTAGAGAAGGAAATAGTTTTTAAAAAATAGAATTGCTGTTTAGCACGGTTAGCAGCAGTGGGCAACTGACAAGGCTGTTGGTTGTTTCTTTCATGGGTTCGCATGAACAGATGGCATCTAATTTTGTATTTCATCATGACTGCTTTTCTATTTTTTATTTAAATAGCCATTAAATAGAGAAAGATGCTAGTGTTAGAGAGCTAGTGGTTTGAGTGTTGGATTATGACATTTGGGAATGAGTTAGAATTTCTGCTCAGCCTTGGAAGCCCTCAGAAAACTAGGTGAATCACATTTTCAGCCTAAAGAGGAGGCAAGGCAAATGTTTGGAGAAAGCTTACCAAGAAAGCCCTTTGATTGGATTGCCATAAGAGCGCAATTGAAGGCACATCACAACAAAAAAGAATGATGACATGTCTTTTTGTTATGCTAGGACAGCATTTGATTTTAAGAGCATCCAAGAATTTAGTAATCTTGTCCAACTGGCATTTAAAGCAGTGGTTCCTAAACCTTTTTTGACCAGGGAGCACTTTGATCAGAGACCACTCTCCAAAATTAGTATCAAAAGTGTTAAATCGGTTTTTGGTCAGTTTTAGATTTGGCTAGGTTATTTGGGGTGCTGATTGAGAAAATTATATTGGATAGACCACATCAACTCTAGTTTCTGATACAGAACATATGCCATCCAGTAGCCGCCATCTGCTCACCCACAGAAAACCATATTTAATGTAGTAGTAGTAGTAGTAGTAGTAGCCGATGTAGTAGTAGTAATATTGTGTGGGTAGTCAGCTTCTCCCCTCCTGACTTCCCCATTGCCTTGGCACTATAAGGGTTTTGTGAGACCAGTCACTTGTTGCCACATGGTTTCAAAGCAACTAGTAATGGTGAGGCCGCAGACCATAGTTTCATTCTTGTAGACCACTGGTGGTCCATGGACCACAGGTAGGGAACCACTCACTTAAAGTAATAGATGGTCTACAATTTAGTTTTAAAGTAAACTATCTTACAAAATCACTTGTTCATTTTGTTCGATATGATATTCCCTATTGCATAGTTGGACTGCTTTGAAGTGAGAAGTTAGTATTTTATAGCTAGCTAACCCATTGGTTAAGAGGTGAACTATGAAGTCCCTAGTTCAAATCTTAAACACATTTCCTAGATGGCTTTAGGGAAATCACTCGTCTCCACTAGCAGCAAACTGTATAATCTTGGCCTGTAAAAGTCTCCTAATCATCTCAGATTCTTTAAATCTGCTATAGAAGGGCTAAGAATTACTTTAAGCACCCTTAGAATCTTCGTTTGTATTAGGTATTTGAAGGAACAAACAACTATAAATTACAATATGCATTTTATTGGACAATAACAAACAACCCAAAGCGCAACAAATAGACATCTAATTTATACAAAATCTGAAAATTTAGCACTCAACCTTGATAGCCAGCAAGGAGGGGAAAGAACAATGACAGATGTGAACTAAATGAGCCAAAGGCAGAACTCACTACAGTATGGTGGGATCATTTGAAAAGCAGAGTATTGCATGTTGCCAAGTGAGAGCAAACAAACTGGATTTCCAAAGTTGTGTGCACTATGTAGACAAAAGTCCAAGTCAGGGGTGGTTTGTGTTCCGTTTCCATGTTTAGAAGGCTGCCTGATTTTTAGGTTTAGCTTCTGTAACTTGACTGAGAAGTGGAGACATATTTCACACTAGAGGAGCTGCCACCTCCCAGACTCATGCCTCCTCCGCCGATTCCTCTTCCGCTCGCAGAACTGTAGCTGCCTCCTCCTCCAATCCCTCTTCCACTCGCAGAACTGAAGCTGCCTCCTCCAATGCAATGCCCGCTGCCAATTCCCAGGCCTCCTCCTACTCCAAAACCACTGCCTCCTCCCAGGCTGAGGCTGCTTCCACCTCCATAGCAAAGGCCACTGCCAACAGCACCTCCACGCGAAACAGTTGAAGACACAACAGCTGTGGAAAAAGGAGCACAAGCTCAATCTCATTCAGAATTTGCTAGTTAATAAAGCAAAATAAATGAACAGGATACTTAAAAAATGTCAAGTAGAAAATGATGCAAACCAACTCCAAAGAACCTTTCATCAATGCTGACTCGAGCTGGATTATGACACCAGCTGAGAGAAGAAACAACAGGAAGAGTGATTGGTAGCACTATCCCCTCACACTAAATTGTAGCCCACAGAATACTTACAGATATTCACAGCTCCTGATGCATCACTAGCCAGCCTGTCAGGACAGAAAATTGGAGGTAAGAATTCTGAGCATTTCAAGGTACTTCAAAAGTGGCAGGATTATATGCTGCATTGTGACAAAGTCTGGATGTCCCTTCAGATAACATGTTATGTGGAACATACATTGGTCTTCTGTAAGATTCTGCTTATACCTATCAAATTGTCATTTGGCTGTCTAATGTGGCGCCAGCAAACGGTAGATAAAAACACCTTTTACCTTGATTAGCCCTAGCATTGGAGAAATCAAAATGTCCAAACTTCCTCTATATTAAAGTACCAAGGATCATTTTTGGATAATCTGACAAAATTGTCGCTAGCTCCAAGTCCTGAGAGCTGAAACTTCTATAATTGGTTGCTTTTGTCGCCTATACGTTCAGGAGAAGTATGTGACTGGCAAGGGGATGAACTTAAAAGGAGAGCATGCTCAGGAAAAGAGGGCAAATGTTGCACACTTGATGTTCAAAGTTTACAAGTCTCATCTAGGCTGCCAGAGTCATCGAACAGCAAACAGTAGATATCCCATCAAGAAGACTGAGTAGAGAGTGTGTCTTTCCCCTCTGTTGCATTTGAAGTGAGTGTGTGGGGGAGGGGAATGGCGGGGGGGGGGGGGGGGGGGGGGATAGAGAAGTAGAAGGAAAAATTTCCCCATCTTTTCACTTGTTACAGACCACCATGAGCTTGACCTGATATAAGATACAGCAACATTTCAGTTGTTGATTGAAAGGGTCCAATAACTTCTATTTGGGCTTCAAGAGAGGCAGAAATTTAAATTCATTGCAAGGATTATTTAATGTTATTAAATGTTTCACAGTGAGCATGGTAGAAAGATGTGAAGTTGCAATACCAAATTGAATTGGAGACGTGAGTACAGGAGACAGAGGTGCAAGTTATTTATCGAGATGGAGCATGTAAGGATATGGTGTTTCAGTGTATGTAATTGTATCTCACTGACCGGCATTCTTCTCCTTCCAGCAGCTTCCTGTAGGTGGCAATCTCAAGATCTAGAGCCAGCTTGACATTCATCAGGTCCTGATACTCCTTCAGCTGGCGAGCCATATCTTGTTTGGCTTTCTGGAGAGCATCCTCAAGTTCAGCCAATTTCTGCCTTGCATCTTTGAGAGCAAGCTCGCCACGTTCTTCTGCTTCAGCAATGGCTGTCTGCAGATTGGCACACTAGGAGGGGAAAATCAAAGAGCCATTCATTTGAATAGGTCACTTCTTGGAGTCAAGAGATATTTTCTTTCTGTTGTTCTATGTGCACCTTGCTGTCACTAAAATAATTTGAATTTCCAATGCAACGCCACACTGAGCAACCTTTCTTTTCCTTCCTTCACAGCTTGCTTCTGTGTGAAAAGTATCACAAATTATCTGTTGACACATCTATAATGTCAGGGCTGATGAAACTATCCTAACAATGACGCCACTGTAGAAGCAAACATTCATGAGGACAATGCTCATGGATACATGTAGAGTAGGTACATGTATCCATGAGCAAACATACAAAAGGTACAAAGTTAAGGTTCTAGAGTTTTTTGTGACCCCAGAACCTTAATTGGTCAAAAATACACCCCAAATACCCTTGAGATGATGTGGTCACACTTTTAACACATCCACCATTAGTCCAATTTAAAAGAGAGACCTTTAAAAAATCAAAAAATCAAGAAGTGAACTTGAAATGCTCTTTTATTTCATTCCCCCCTTTTTGCTGGGGGTGGTGGTGGTGGTGGTGGCGGCGGCTTTTAGTTCCATAAGGTTGTTGGGGGCCATTTGGGGAAAATATTTGGTTTTGCAGTGGGATGTGGAAGGGAGTGTGGCCTTCCTAGGCTCCCAAAGTAGTCCATCCGTGCTGTAAAGACTGGACTAAGGACCCAAGGTGAGAAGTCCAAAACCAGTTCAGCTGAGGAAAATAATGAGAAAATTGGCTGGGATGAAAACTAAATCATAAAACCGATCTCCTGTGGATGAGAACAGAGACCAAAAACAATGATTATATTAAGATATGACCGTAGCATACCTGCTTTTTCACATTGTCAATTTCAGCTCGCAGTCTTTGGATGTGTCGATTTATTTCTGAAATCTCCTGCTTGGTGTTGCGAAGGTCATCACCATGTCTTCCAGCAGTAGCCTGGAGTTCTTCATACTGATATATAGAGAAAACATAGCAACTCAATGTAAATCCCATATGGAGCAACCATTCCTATTGAGTCGTGTGTAGCAGATACACAGCTTTTGCAATACCTCCAAGGGAATATTTTTTCACCAGAGCTCATTTACTCTCTTTTCATCATGCCACCCACCACACCAAGATGAGATTCAAGCGGCCCCATTGCCACTAGTTCTCTGACCAGATTCATGTTGTTTAAAGTATGTGCGAATGGATTAGAAATCAGTAAAGAAGAAAAAGTAGTGCAAAATAATGTCTAAAGTATTACTGGCCTTGAAAAAAAAGGCAGGGCATTTTCATTTAGCTGTAGGTGTAAATGTCTTGTTATTAAGACCAATGCAACGTGAACCAAAAGGATGCTGTTGTTCTCTAGTTATGATTGTTTACCTTGCATTGATACAAAGTTTCAGCTTCAGCCCTGCTCTTGTTTGCAATTTCTTCATATTGGGCTTTTACTTCAGCAATGATGCTATCCATATCCAGATTTCGGCTGTTGTCCATTGAGAGAATCACAGAAGTGTCAGAGATTTGTGTTTGCATCTGGGCAAGCTCCTGCAGATGATACAAGAATAAAAGGTACATGTTGAACCATACATCCATATATATCTCTAGCATCTATCTATCAATCGATCTATCTATCTATCTATCTATCTATCTATCTATCTATCTATCTATCTATCTATCATCTATCATCTATCTATCTATCTCTATCTAGAAAGAAACTCTATCTATCTATATGCTAAGTTTACAGACAGCAAGTGAACTCTCAATTGTAGAACTATGCAAATAAGAGAAACACTACACTCTTACACAGTGTGTAATATATAATTGATTCTGCTTCATTTTTTTCTTCCTCTCATAAAAGACTAGGGGTATTATCCAGAAGCTTTAACCCTTCTCTTTTTTGGGGGGAACACTTACATTTTCGTAAAATTCCTCAGCAGGAACATTATTACTTGCCTCAGTTTCACTGTAACTGAAATCAACAATTTAATGGTGAATCTCATTCTTGGGAAACCTTCTAATTTTTTCCGTAGAAGTATTGCTAATTGTCCATGGGAAAAATTGAGAGGGATAGTTTGATGTTTCCCTTGACATGGCTTACTATGGTAAGATGCATGTGTGTGTGTGTGTTGGCTTTCTACTGCTACAAAATTCTGTTTTAGGAAAGTTGGTGACAGTCCTTGATGAAAACAGCTACTGGTAAATGACAATTCTGTGACTATTAGGCAGCATTCCTTTTTACTACAGAAATGTCTCAAACTCGGCAACAAATCAAATAAACAACTGTGCACTGCAGTTTGCACAGAAAATGTCTGTTTAAAGAGAATAAAAGTAATACTTACTGCTTCATACACGGTTCTGAGGAAGTTGATTTCATCATTCAAACAGTCAGCCTTGCCTTGTAACTCTACTTTGTTCATGTAGGCAGCATCCACATCCTGGAGTTGCAGAGTGAGAGGGAAGCAAGATACTGTTGAACTAAAATTTGGAAATTTGTTGGCAGATAACACTATGAACATTTTCTGTTCCTGTTTTAAAAATGTTATTTCCTGTTCCATGGTACAGTATTTACTTTGAAAGTAGTTGTTATTCTCCAGAAATTTTGTGTTTGTGGCTGCCACAAACTATGTTGAATTGGCTGAGACTCTGTGAGATGTTCAATGAAAAACTATAGCAAAATGTGCTGCAGGATGCTCCACAAAAACAAAGTTTTTGCAATTTAATAAATGTTTTCCATATTTTTATGATAGAACCAATAAGAAAATGGCATGGATAACCCAGGAACAAAAATCATGTTACATAGTGTAGTTCAGAAGTCATAGGGGCGCATACTGTGACCCAAACTGTGAATTACTCATAATCTTATTTCATCCCCACATGCAACAAATAGTGACAGCCTCAACAACCAATGATTTTTCCCTCCACTGGATGAGATTATAAAACTTGATGTGCATTTGTAAACAACCTCTTCACATTTTTAGACTTTTTTAGTTGCAAAAAATGTTGCTTTTGGAAAGAGTTTTGTACAGCAGACTGAAGTTTGCATATAACAATACATTTCTATAAAAATATTACTGTATATTTGGACACAATACTTTTTTTACAGCAACTTCAACATGAAAAAGCTGTTTTGAATAACTGTGTACCTATCTTATCTACATACCTTCTTCAGTGTGACAAAATCATTCTCTGCAGATGCTCGCTTGTTGATCTCATCTTCATATCTAAGGGCACAAAAGGCAGGGGAAAACACAATGCTTTATTTAATCAAATGGGCATGTAGTGCAATGCTTATGGGATTGTAATAAAAAAAGATTACTTTTGAGCATATTGCCAGTCAGCAATAGAAGTGTTAAAGTGTGTGTGTGTATCTTGGAGAGGAGGACTTGCTAGCCCATAGCTCAGAGGATGGCATACAAAGAGCCCTAACTGCCTGCTTTTCTCTTCTGCTTATTTATTTTATTAATTTTAAGACTATTATTCTTTCTTTTAGCATATTATTTCAAGATTTACAACAGTTCCAGGCTGAAAGTATACATCATTTAAACATAATACAAATATTAAAACAGCCATAATTTAAAACATTTTAAAAGCTATCACAGTTCCAGACCATGTTCACACATGTCTTGAAATCAATTAGTCTTCAAGGGTTTTAGTAAAGAGCCATGCTGTCAATTGCTGACAGAAAGAAACCAGTTTTGGCACCAGTGAGACCACCAGAGTGAGAGCATTCCACAAATGAAGTGGAGCAGCTGAGGAGGCCACCTTCTATGTCCTCTTCTTTCATATTGAGACCCCCTTCTAGCAGACCTTACATAATAGAGTTAAGAAGGGAAAACTCCCTAAGACCTTACATGTTCTAGGAACTGTGCAAGTGTGCCAAAAACATTAACCACTTTTGTTCTTAACAATGTATGTAGCTAGAAGTTACAGTTTAAATCAAAATTATACTTTAAAAGTTGTTCTTCAGCCTCAGGCTGATTCTCTTTTGACTCCTTTGTTGTAAAATAAAACTAGATGGAATATTTTAATGTAGCCAGTCAGCCTACCATCTTGGTTGACTTCACAGCGATGGATGGCGGTGCTGATGTGATTGGGATTATGGATCTGGGTTTTAGTCAGAAGTTTTAAGAAGCCATCCAAGATCTTGAGCCTAGTTTCAGAATACTGCTAAACAGGTTGTTGTAGGTTTTTTGGGCTATATGGCAATGTTCTAGAAGYATYMTYTCCTSACGTTTCSYCTGCATCTRTGGCAGRCATCCYCAGAGGTTGTGASSTCACAACCTCTGRGGATGYCTGCCAYAGATGCAGRSGAAACGTSAGGARAKRATRCTTCTAGAACATTGCCATATAGCCCAAAAAACCTACAACAACCTGTTTAGCAGTATTCTGAAACTAGGCTCAAGATCTTGGATGGCTTCTTAAAACTTCTGACTAAAACCCAGATCCATAATCCCAATCACATCAGCACCGCCATCCATCGCTGTGAAGTCAACCAAGATGGTAGGCTGACTGGCTACATTAAAATATTCCATCTAGTTTTATTTTACAACAAAGGAGTCAAAAGAGAATATAGCCCAAAAAATCTACAACAACCCAGTGATTCCAGCCATGGAAGCCTTCGACAATACTTCTCAACACTTACATACCTTATTTAAAGGTTAACCTACAACCTAGGTGGATTCACTACTCAACTGACCTCAAAGCTACAAGCCAGAACTGCCACTCCATCAAACCAGGTGGTGGGGGAGCATTTTGGAGGCCAGAGGTATGTTGAAAGCTACCATGTGCCAGATCCGAATGACAAGATTTAGGTAGAACCATAGAGCAATCTCTATGCCTTTTGAATTGAAATATACCCTTAGATTGCTGCTTGTGCAGACTGTGACTTTAGTTGCAGTACAGAAAGGAAACAAAGGTGTAGATGGGAGAGAAAGAATGAAATAATCATAAAAAAGAGAGAGCCTTACTTGTTCTTGTAGTCCTCCACAAGGTTTTGGATGTTATTCAGTTCTCCAAGGAGTCTGCCTCTATCATTTTCCAGGCAATTCAGCTGTTTCCTCAAATTGTTGATATAAACTTCAAAAAGAGGTTCCAAGTTGTTTTTAATTGTTTTCTGGCCTTGTTCCTGAAGCAAGGTCCATTTAGTTTGCAATACCTTGTTCTGCTGTTCAAGGAAACGTACCTGAAGGCAAAAAAGCTTCATATTATAACAACATGCATCCTAAAAAGGTAAATTTTACTATGGGCTTTAAGACAGCTCAGCTCCCTTAGCTGCAGCAGTTATGGGATCCTTTCCCACTGTCTCTTGGAAATTCATCTGTTAGCCCAGAACCAAGTATGCTTTAAAGTAGTGTTTCTCTTTCTCTCCACTCTGCTTGGCTGTTGGCATTATGGTAAGGCCTCTAGAACAGTGATCCCTTACCATTTTTGCCCATGAGACTTGGACTTCAACTCCCAGAAACCCCATCCAACATGGTGAATGGTCAGGATTCTGGAAGCAGAAGTCCAGCAGCATCTGGAGAACCAACAGCTGAGAATTACACTATAGATGAATGAAAGTTGATGTTATATTTTATCATGTTTTAATCTATGTTTGTCTGGGCTCGTCCCCATGTAAACCGCCTTGAGTCTCTTTGGGGAGATGGAGGTGGGGTATAAAAATAAAGTTATTATTGTGTTGCTTCCTTAAACAATGTTTTTAGCAATATTGGTTATTCTTCATCCATCCTTTTAACTGAAATTTTGTATACTGTAGTTCTATACCAATTTACTTGAAGACCTCAAAACATTGTAAATTGAGCCTGCATAAGCACAGGCTGCTAAATCATTGTTTATCTTTCGCATGTTGTTACTGTGCTAAATCTCTGGAATTAGGAAAGCTATAACTGTGAATGACTAGCCAGATAAATGAATGAATGTAGAGGTGAGTGAATGAATGAATGAACGAATGCATGGAGAGCCATTCAAGCCTCATCATGCAGACATCCTCAGTTCTGTCTTGCCTCTCTCCATATGTCATTCTTACACATCATGAGTCACCTACCCTTTCAACCATATGCTATCCATTCAATGGAAAGACCCAGAATTGAGACACACATCATTTATAAAAGCTCAACTTTTTTGGACTAGGTTTCCAACTTATTTTTTTAATGACTTTAGTTATTCATCTAACAACATTAGGACTTGCAGTGGTTCTCAAAGAAAGGGATGTGGGAATCTCCTCAAAATTTGGCATCTCCTAGGGCCAAGCTTATTATAAATCATGAATTAGAAGTAAACACAATATGAGTTCAGGAGGACTGACTTCCCAATAACATTGCCTTATTGAAACTTCTAAATACTCAAGATTTTTACAAGCTGGAACCTACAACATTGGCTCAAATTTCTGTTTCATGAAAAACTGTAGGAACCTTTTCAATCATTTTATTTTCATAGTGAAAATTCATTGCTACACAATTGATGCATGTTAGGATGCTGATGACAGCATAGGGATAGAGCAAAGGAAGTGTTTTCTGCATTGTATTATCCACGTGGACAAAATATCCCTGGATTAAAAGTGATAATGTCATGAGCTAGAATTTTAGACATTAACTGTAGATGGGTTCTTGAATTATAAGACCTGCTTTGGTTGTTGTTGCTTCCTTTCTAACTTACAGCAATCTTAAGATGAATCTATAATGACATTTTCTGGGGTTGAGAGTGTATGACTTGCCCAGGGTTGGCCAGCTGGTTTCATGGCTAAGTGGGGAATCAAATCTTGGTCTCTAGATGCATAGTCCAATGCTAAAAACACCACACCATGCAAGCAATGACAAAATAAAGGAGTGTGTAAAACTCTTCAGCATTTTACAGACAAACAGATGAAGTGAGTGGTCAAAAAGGCAAAACCTGAGATCGGAGAGAATTATAAAACTGGAAGAGACGACAAGGGTCATCCAGTTCAACCCTCGTTATGCAGAAACATCCAATCAAAGCACTCCTGATGGATGGCCATCCAGCCTCTGCTTAAAATCTTCCAGAGAAGATTTCACCACTCTCTGAGGCAGCATATTTCATGCCAAACAGCATTCACTGCCAGAAAGTTCTTCCTAATGTTGAGGTGGAATCTCTTATCCTACCAATTTAATCCACTGCTCTGAGTCGCTAGAGCAGGAGAAAACAAATTTGGCCCCTCCTCAGTGTGCATCCTTTCAAATATTTAAACATGGTTATCATGTTCATGCTCCACCTTCCCTTCTCCAAGCTAAACATAGCCAGTTCCCTAACCTGCTCCTCATTCGACTTGGCCTCTTTTTGGTTGCCATTCCCTGGACATGTTCCAGTCTGTCAATAGCCTTCTTCAATTGTGGTGCCCAGAAAATGGACATAGTATTCTAGTTGATTTCAGACCAAGTTAGAATATAATACCTCCCTCGATTTAAACACTATACTCCTGTTGATGCAGCCTAGAGTTGCATTTGCTTTTTAAGCTGTTGTATCATATTGCTGACTCATGTTCAACGTGTCAGCAAGTTGAACATGAGTCAGCAAAAACTCTTAGGCTGGATCTACACTTCGATTGAAACTACAGTATGTGGACAGTGTAGATGCATGTAATGCAGTTCAATGCAGTTAAACTGCATTATATGGCTCTACGCTGACTGTATAATGCAGTTCAAACTGCATTATATTGTAGTGTAGATCCAGGCCTATATCCTTTTCACATGTCCCTTTTCAAGCCAATGTTGTCAAAGATGCTCCAACAATTTGTTTGTTTTTTCCCAAGCCTCCTGGGAAGGGAGAGTCTTGCCTCCTCCTCTCCTCCTCGCTAATTTTGCACTCCAAACTCAATTTATAGCAATAGAAAAAAATTGAGGGAAGGAAGGATAGGAAGAGAGAAGAGAAGAGAGAAACATTTTAAACAGTAGTAGAAAAGTGGGATCGCAGAGGCTTAATCAGGACTGTCCTTTTCAAATCAGGACAGTTGGAGGGTATAGAAATGCCATTCATTTACCTTATCAATGAAAGAAGCAAATTTGTTATTGAGTGTCTTCATTTGCTCTCTCTCTTCTTTACGGACTCTCTGTACTGCGGGGTCGATCTCCAGATTGAGAGGTGTCAGCAGGTGCTGATTGATGGTCACTTCTTGGATTCCACCAGGTGGGCAAACAGCGAAGCCAGGGCCACCAATTCCTCCACCAAAACCTGTTCCAACTACCCCAAAGCCACTACCAATGCCTCCACCAAGCCCATAGCCACTGCCTCCAAGCCCATAGCCACCACCAATGCTGGCACATAAACCAGCACCAGAAGCTCCCCCAAAACCTGAGATCCTCTTAGATCCACCAAAATTGTAGAGGCTTCGGCTGCCAAAGCCACCACCACCACCAACTCTAGCAAAACCGGCACCACCGGCACCACAGCTTCCACCCCTGGACACGGTGCGTGAACTGAAGCTGGTGCGGCTAGTGCTAGGCAGGATGGCAGAGGAATTGCTGAAGCCTTTCCTTTGGATCTTGACAGTGGCTTGGTGAGACATTGTAGCCCAGTTGGAATGAAGCAAAGGGAGACAAAGAAGACAGAGGAAGCGAGAGAATGAGTACACACAGGGGCTGGTGCAGTTGTCTTCTCTAACACTTTGGGGCTCTTCTTTTATTTATATCCTTGAGGAAGTAGGATTGGTTGTGAAAAAAATGTGGATCATCTTTCTGATTAATGGGGCCGGGCATGCCCTGAGGTGTTTGTGTACAGTGACATCAGAAAGCTCTGCCACACACGCCTGTACAAAAAGGCTGAATGCAAGTGCCACAGCTTAAGCTTCCTGCTTGTGAGTAATTTGGAATAATGATCACCTTTCTTAGCTTACACACTAGGCAAAGGAGATTGGGGATATTAATGAGTTCAGTTTGTTCTTGGGCTGGGGAACAAGAAGCTAAGAAGAACCAGTTACTCAAGGGAAAGATGTCCTGTTTTCTACCATTTTCTCTACACCAAGACAAAGCAAAGGAGGGGATGGACATGCCTAATCCCTTTCTAGGCACAAATCTAATGAAAATGAACATCAACCCAAGGCTAATGGCCTCCTAAATTTCAGAAGTGTAGTGTTGAACAAGTTGCCTCTGAAGGAGATTGCAAGATAGCTTCTAGATATTGTAAATGCTGAGAGAGGAGTAAATGGGCTCCTGAGTATGATATGTGAAGTATAGCAAAACAAATCTGCTCCACTTGCATGCCACTTAACTTGCCAATGCGCCATGGACCTGTGAGCATACTCTCAGCAGCCCCTTCCAATTTCATCTTGCTCTTGAGCATACAGTGAGTGGATGCTGTGTAAGAGATTGTACTGCAGAATTTGAAAATTCATAGAATTCTGAAGACTGCAACTAAATTTAATTTCAGTTCCCTATCATATGATCATATGATGTGATATGATATCATATATCATATCACCAACTAATGCTCTGGAGCCAGAGTGAAGGAGGGGGGCCACCATGTCTCCTGGGTCATTGGTTGGGAGCCCCTTCCCTGAGCAACAATATAGTAATATATAATACTAATATTGTGCTGTGCTAATATTATAATATATTGTATACACATATGATATTGATAATCATATTATAATGTAATACAATATAATACAAATAATACAGTATAATAATTATATATTTTATATTAGATGTAATATTACTAATAATATTACAGTATTTATTTATTTTATTTATTTGCTGCATTTGTTGACCGCCGCTCTCAGCCCTAGGGCGACTCGCGGCGGTGTACAACATATAAAACAGTTTACAATAAAGCACAACAAGAAATCAACAAAACAATATTACACATTAATCTAAATTACACTAACTAATCCGCACCGTCACAACATAGAATCATAGCCAATCTCATAATCCATATTCCGTTCCAGTTGTCATTACCAGTTAATGTAGCACTCAGTTAAATGCCTTCTCGAATAGCCAGGTCTTTAGGCTCTTACGGAAAGCCATAAGGGAGGGCGCCTGTCTGATGTCAACAGGGAGGGTGTTCCACAGCCGGGGGGCCACCACCGAGAAGGCCCTCTCTCTCATCCCCGCCAGACGTGCCTGTGAGGCAGGCGGGATCGAGAGAAGGGCCTCCCCAGACGATCTCAAGGCCCTCGTGGGCTCATAGGCCAAGATGCGGTCCGAAAGGTATTTTGGGCCGGAACCGTTTAGGGCTTTGTAGGATAACACCAGCACCTTAAATTGGGCCCGGTAGCAGATCGGCAGCCAGTGGAGCTGGGACAACAAGGGCGTTGTGTGCTCCCTGCGTCCCGCTCCCGTTAGTAACATGGCTGCCGCGCGCTGGACTAGCTGAAGCTTCCGGGCCGTCTTCAAGGGCAGCCCCACGTAGAGAGCGTTGCAGTAGTCAAGCGGGATGTAACCAGAGCGTGTACCACCGTGGCCAAGTCAGACTTCCCAAGATACGGGCGCAGCTGGCGCACGAGCCGAAGCTGTGCAAATGCTCCCCTGGTCACCCCTGAAACCTGGGGATCCAGGCTCAAAGATGAATCCAGGGTCACACCCAAGCTGCGAACCTGCGCCTTCAAGGGGAGTGCGACCCCGTCCAGCACAGGCTGTAACCCTATACCCTGTTCGGCCTTGCGACTGACCAGGAGTACCTCTGTCTTTTCTGGATTTAATTTCCATTTGTTCGCCCTCATCCAGACCATTACAGCGGCCAGGCACCGGTTCAGGACCTCGACAGCCTCCTTAGTAGCAGGTGGAAAGGAGTGACAGAGTTGGACATCATCTGCGTACAGATGACACCGCACCCCGAAACTCCGGATGATCTCACCCAGCGGCTTCATGTAGATATTAAACAGCATGGGGGACAGTATAGAACCCTGTGGAACCCCACAGGTCAAAGGCTGTGGTGTTGAACAAGAGTCCCCCAATAACACCTTCTGGGTACGATCCTCCAGAAATGACTGGAGCCACTGCAGAGCAGTGCCCCCAAGACCCATTTCCGCAAGGCGCCCCAGAAGGATACCGTGGTCGACGGTATCGAAGGCCGCTGAGAGGTCCAGGAGCACCAACAGGGACACGCTCCCCCTGTCTAGCTCCCGGCGCAGATCATCCACTAAGGCGACCAAGACCGTCTCGGTTCCATGTCCCGGTCTGAAACCAGACTGTGCCGGATCCAGAAATCCGTGTCTCTCAAGAATACCTGGAGTTGTGAGGCCACCACGCTTTCCATGACTTTGCCCAAAAAGGGGAGATTGGAAACAGGCCGAAAGTTGTCAAATTTAGTGGGGTCCAGTGATGGTTTCTTCAACAGCGGTTTTATAATGGCTTGTTTTAAGCACGCTGGAATCTTGCCTTCCCGAAGGGAGGCATTAACCACCACCGTTACCCACTCAGCCAATCCCCCTCTGGCCTCCTTCAGAAGCCAGGATGGGCAGGGGTCTAGGATGGACGTGGTGGGCCTCATTCCTCCAAGTATCTTGTCCACATCCTCGGGCTTCACAAACTGAAAAGAATCCATCAAAATAGGACAAGCAGGTGCTCGTGTCACATCCTCGGAGACTGCATTTAACATGGTGTCCAGCTCAGAACGGATCAAAGCGACTTTGTCTGCAAAGAACCGAGCAAATGCTTCACAGCGCGTGACCGAATTGTCAGGGCTCCCGCCTGAGGTGGCGGGAGTTAAAAGACCTCTGACAATCCGAAACAACTCCGCCGGACGGTTTTTTGCAGACGCAATAGTGGCCGCAAAGAAAGTTTTCTTTGCGGCTTTTATTGCCGCGGCATATGCCCTTAAAAAGGACACAAACCGTGCTCGATTTGACTCGCTTGGGTCCGAACGCCACACGCTCTCTAGTTCCCTCTTCCTTCGCTTCATCACTGCCAGCTCCTCAGTAAACCAAGGAGCTGGTTTAGCTCGGCTACTTGAGAGGGGACGTTCCGGAGCGATCATGTCAATTGCCCTGGCCATCTCCCCATTCCAGAGAGCGACCAAGGCCTCGACATGGTCACCTACCGAGGTGGCGGGAAAATCCCCAAGAGCCGTCAGGAATCCAGTCGGATCCATAAGCCTCCTGGGGCGGACCATCTTAATGGGTCCTCCACCTTTGCAGAGGTTAGGGGGTGCAGTGAGCCTAAATCTGATCAGGAAGTGGTCAGTCCATGGCAACGGAGAGATAGACAACTCCTCCACACCGCCACCCTGCTCCCATCCCTGACAGAAAACCAAGTCCAATGTGTGTCCAGCACAGTGGGTGGGGCCAGATATTTGTTGGGACAGCCCCATGGTTGCCATGGCAGACATGAAGTCCTGAGCCGCTCCTGTGAGGGTCGCCTCGGCATGGATATTGAAGTCTCCCAGCACCAGAAGCCGTTGAGACTCCAACGCCAAGCTCGAGACTACCCCCGCTAGCTCAGGTAGGGAGACTGTAGTGCAGCGAGGTGGACGGTACACTAGCAGAATCCCTATTCTGTCCCGGTCACCCACCCTTAGGTGGACACATTCAAAATTTGTGGTCTGCGGGATGGGGCTCCTGGTCAGATGGATGGAATCTCTATAGACCACTGCAACCGCCTCCCCGTCCTCCGGATCTCGGTTGGTGCTGTACGGAGAAGCCTGGAGGACAAAGCTGGGTAAGATTCACGCCTCCAGCTTCATCCAGCCAGGTCTCCGTGATGCACGCCAGATCTGCCCGCTCATCCAGGATTAAATCCTGGATAAAGGTCGTTTTTCCGTTGACAGATCTGGCGTTCAACAGCACCACCTTCAATCCAGAGGGCCCGCTCACCTGGTTACACCAATTTACCTTAGGAGACCGGTTTGGGGTTATTAATGTTGATAAGCGGTCCGAATTAGGCCGAATTTGAGGTCTCGTGGTATAGTACAATATAGTAATATATATCGTGGTATAGTACAATATAGTAATATATAATACTAATATTGTGCTGTGCTAATAATATAATATATTAAAAGGTTTGGGGCCTGCCTATCTTCATGACCGCATTTCCCCTACGAACCTTTGCAATCTCTAAGATCCTCTGGAGAGGCTCTCCTCTCACTTCCGCCACCGTCTCAGGCATAGCTAGTGGGGACGTTGTCACCCCTCTCTGTCCATCTTCTGCAAAGAGTTAAAGATGTGGATGTTCCACTGTGCTTTTGAGTAGATAATTCCTTAGATAGCTGGCCCCAGCTAGGATCCTAAATTTTGTCCTCTCACTTTACTATTGCTCCTATCTTTACTGCTGCCTTATGACCCATGCACTTTACCTATTAGCCCTATCCTTTAAGTTATTGTTGCACCAGTCCGCACACCCGTGACGATAAACTGAATTTTGTTATTGGTTGTTGAATTCGATGCTGTTTAATTTTGTTATAATGTTGCTGTTTTACTTTGTTTTATATTGTTGTTATGTATTTTAATGGGCCACATTTTAATTGTTTTGATCAGGCTTGGCCCCATGGAAGCCCTTTGGGGAGATGGAGGCGGGGTATAAAAATAAAGTTATTATTATTATTATTATTATTATTATTATTAGTGAATACACATATAATATTGATAATATTATAATGTAATACAATATAATACTAATAATAATACAATATAATAATTTTATATTTCATATTACATGTAATATTACTAATAATTTTACAGTATAGTGGTATAGTACAATATAGTAATATATAATACCAATATTATAATATATTGTGTGTTATATTAATAATATACAATATTATGCTAATAATATAATATATTGCATGTACATATAACTTGTAAGCCTCTCTGAGTCCCCTTCGGGGTGAGAAGGGTGGGATATAAATGTTTTAAATAAATAAATAAATAAATAAATATGAATTTGCACTAGTTATTCTGTTCACTCTTTGGATTTGTGTATATCTGCTCAGAATATAATCAACACAGTTACTCAGTAGATCTTTATTATAACATGTTAAGGGAGAAGAGTTGCACCACTTTAGGGAGGGATGCTTAGTTCACAAAATACAAACTATATTTTAGAAATGTTTAAGAACATATTCATCCCATCAGAGATCAACCCTTTGGGAAGCACCATTTGTGTGTTTTCTCAGCATACAAATGCAGCCCAACCAAAAAAAAATCTTGATGTTTCGGCTTTTAGGCCTGTTCCTGGGATTATTTGGAGTGGTGATTCAGCAAATTAGAATGGATAGAAGGCACCACCTCTAGCTTATTAGCTACTAGCTTGGGTACCTGAGGATGCCTGGGTTATTTGAAAAAGGCATTGTTTGTTTTTGGATGTTCGGTAATATCAGTTTGGTAATTTGTAACGCTATTTTTAGGAAAAAGTCACCCATTGCCTTTCTAAAAAAACG